AGACAGGATGAAGCCAGAGACAGAAACATAACTGGCCTTCAGCCAACATACTTCACAATACTTGGGACTCATCATGGGCTAGATCTAGTATTTTATATGCCAGCATAGAAACCAGTTGGCCATCTTGGATCTCCTCTTCTAGCCTCCACAATGCGGACAGATGCTGACTAAATAGAAGGCCTACCCACTGACCTGCTCTCAGGCTCTCAGGTTAAGGCTCTAACACCAACCATACAGTGGTATTCCAGTTTGGAAAGTGGCTGGGTAGATCCACACTCAGGACCCCAGAGCACTTTACCAAGAGGCCTCCCTTCTTCACTTACTACTCTCTATATAATGTTGATCCAGCTTCCTTCACTCTAAGAATAAGACTTTGCATTGCTGGTCTCTGAATGCTTTGTAGCACAGTGGTCAGACTAACAGATCTCATGTGATCACGTTCAGTGGTAGAACAGAGGAAAAGACAAACCATCTGAACTCACGTCAAGGGGAAAATGATGAGATAAATTATGGTACATCAATAAATATAAAACTATGCAGCCCCAAGAAAAAAGTAGAACCACATGCAGCGATAAGGAACATCTCCAAGATAGCACACTGAAAAAAGGTACAGAACAATGTGAAGGGTATGCTCCAAATTATTACTGTTTTTAATGTTTACTTATTTTTGAGAGAAGGACAGAGGATCCCAAGCTCTGCGCTGACAGCAGCAAGCTTGATGCCGGGCTCAAACCCATGAAACCACAAGATTCCAACCTGAGCTGAAGTTGGGGACTCAATGGACTGAGCCACCTAGATGCCTCCAAATTATTATTTTTTTAAGTATGAATATACATAGATCTCATACACAAGAAACAGGTATATCTTCCTCCAGGGACCACAGGCCAGAGACTTCCACCTATGAATCGCATTTAATTCTCAGAACTGAATGAGGTAGGTCCTTTTGAAAGAGAGAGTGTGTGAGCAGGGGAAGGTCAGAGAGGGGCAGAGCGAGAGAGAGCGAGCACGTACACGCAAGAGAGAAAATCCCATGCAGACTCTGAGCTGACAGTAAGGCTCAAACTCAGGAAGTGTTAGATCATGACCTGAGCTGAAACCAAGAGTTGGACGTTAACCAACTGAGCCACCCAGGTATCCCGAAGTAGGTCCTGTTTTATTATCCTATTTTACACCTGAGAAAAGACAGTTAAGTAATTAATTCAAGGTCATACAGCTACTCAGTAGTTGCAGCTGGAATCCAAACCCAGTCTTAGCCCCAATCCCATACTTCCTTAAAAAGTACACAGGACAAGTCATTCTACATTAAAAACAAGTTTTCGGGGCAGTTAAGCATCAGACAGATTAACGTGGCTCTATCAGTTAAGCGTCTCAGGTGGCTCAGTCAGTTAAGTGTCTGACTTCGTTTCAGGTCATGGTCTCACAGTTCGTGAGTTCGAGCCCTGTGTCAGGCTCTGTGCTGACAGCTCAGAACCTGGAGCCTGCTTCAGATTCTGTGTCTCCCTCTCTCTCTGTCCCTCCCCCACTCACACTCTGTCTCTCTCAAAAATAATAAACATTAAAAAATAAAAAGAGAGAGAGAGACAGAGACAGAGTGAGCAGGGAAGGGCAGAGAGAAGGAGACACAGAATCCAAAGCAGGCTCCAAGCTTTGAGCTGTCAGCACAAAGCCTGATGTGGGGCTTGAACTCATGAACCATGAGATCATGACCTGAGCTGAAGTTGGTCACTTAACCGACTGAGCCACCCCAGCACCCCTTTTAAAAATATGCCTGGGTGGCTCAGTCCATTAAGCATCCAACTTCAGCTCAGGTCATGATCTCACGGTTTGTGAGTTGGAGCCCCACATCGGGTTCTGTGCTGACAACTCAAGAGCCTGGAGCCTGCTTTGGATTCTGTGTCTCCCTCTCTCTCTCTCTGCCCCTCTCCCACTCCAAGTCTCTTTCTCTCTCAAGAATAAACATCAATTTTATTTATTTGTTTATTTATTGCTTGCATGCAAGAGTGGGGGAAGAGCAGCAAGAGAGGGAGAAAGAATCTCAAGCAGGCTCTGCGCTAACAGTGCTCTAACTCATGCAGGACTTGAACCCACAAACTGTGAGATCATGACCTGAGCTGAAATCAAGAGTTGGATATTCAACTGACCGGGCAACCCTGGTGCCCTGAGTTTTCAGAGCTTTGGAATGAGGCATTAAAGTAGATTCACCTTATTTGTATCACTGCTGTTACTGATTTATTAAAATTACCAGGAGGCCTTTTCTTAATTCTACTTTTCTCACACATGTAAGTAATCCAAACAAATAGCCTATTCCAAACAGCTACAGCTTAAGACAACTGTGGTGTAAGTACTTACTTAAGGAATATTCATGTGGGTTCCATTCAGGGAACACCAGAAATTCCTCATGATAGTATCTTACTACTATCTGAATAAAGTTACAGGTCCTTTAGACCGCACAGATGAGTAACAGAAAAAGTTGAAACTTTTCACAGTTTTAATCTCATAGGATACCTGAAATTCAAGATGGTTATGATGCAGGGAACTTTCTAAAGCAACGAGAATTGTAAAAGTGATAGAAGTGAAAATCTTGCTTGGCATATAGTAAGCATTTAAAAACGGCTGGCTTAGTGAATGAATTTAAGATCATCCTCAATTTGGCCTCAAAATTAACTTTTCCCTACCCTACTAACACATTTTTGCATTCTCCATGCCCACCCTCTTCTAATGTTTTATTTATTTTTGAGAAGGAGACAGAAGGCAAGGGGGTGGGGGAGACTGAGAGGAGGGAGATGGAGAGAGAGGGGGAAGGTGAGAGAGAGA